AATATTTAAATGATGTAGATTTTAAGTACAAATGATAAAATAATATCTATTTCAATTATACATATTATATATTGCAATATTTATTAACATTTTCCTATATTTTTCATAAGTAGAACCCCTGTCCCTTGGGTTCACTGTCATTTCCACCACACAGTACAAAATAGAATCCTGGGATCATTGTTTTAGGTTTGTTTACTTAGTAACCATAGCAACAGAAACTCCACAGTGGAACACATGGCTGGGTGAAAGGGTGACCTCTTTAGGGGGTAATGTAAAGAAGAAAAATCAAGGTAAATATGAGTAAAACTGAGAGTATGTTTATTGGTCGTCATTTCCAAACGGCTCATATTTCACATGGACGTAAAAATAACTGGATAAATTTAATTTAATGATGTGTAATTTGTGTATATTTAATGCTAACTCTAAAATGAATATTAGCAGGCTAACATAGCATGATATTTTAGAGGGAAAGGGAGGAAATGTCATTTCCACCACAGTCATTTCCACCACGGTGTTCATTGTGATGGTAAAAGACAGGTTGTGGTGGAAATGACATTGTTCATGCTAAACAGCAAATTATTTTGGGCTATAATACTAAAATTTAAATGCAAAAAAACATTTAATTAAGTTAAGGTAGTAAGGAAATATTTTATTATTTTTTATAAAAATATATTGGTATTAAATGCATTTTCTGAGAATTTATATTTCAAGTTTTGACTGCAAATGTCACGTCCATAACGCTGAAATTGCCCAATTTTAATTGATCCTCAATAGTTTTGTGGTGTAGGTCTACATATTTTATAATGTTAAGTTCAAATAATACTAATAGTAATTTAAAGATGTGGTAGCATTGGATCTACTGACAAGACCCACACAATTTGCCGTAAGTGTTTTAAGAAGCTTCCTCAAATGACCGGCAACACGTCCAACATGCAGATGCATATCTTACGGCACCATCCCGAAATCAATTTAGTTGAAGCACAGAAAGCAAACCCAAAATCAGCAGCCTACACTGCTTAGTTTAGTATAATAATTTGCATAGTTAATATTGTTCTTTGGTGTTAAGTTTACACAGGGTTTTCAGATGTTATTTAATAAAAATATATTTTCTTTCTCTCAAAATCTTTTTTTTTCACCCCTAAGCCCCGCCCCCGTTATAGAATCGTGATACTAACCAAATCGTGGGTCAAAAATCGTGATACGAACCGAATCGTGGGTTTGGTGTATCGTTATAGCCCTAACAAATAGTCACTGTCATCTAATCCTGTTTTCTTTCAGTTTTTCTTTTCCAATAGCAAATGTATTTAAAAAACACTGTTACCACTGCCAAAGAAAAACTAATGTTCAAAAGTGAAGGGTCAAGAGCCCAACTAAACCAAACACTGATCACCATCATGGTAACATCAAATGAAAATAAAATTACATCTAAACCTCTGTCACCTTTTAATAAGAACTTCTGTAGACGTCAGACATAAAGTCAAACTGGATAGTAATAAGTAAAGCTGGTAATGCTGTTTGTGGAGTTGTTTAATCCTCCTCTGCTGAGATCTTCACAGATTTAATGTCTTTTATCTTCAGTTGATTTAATCTTTTTTCTGTTCTTCTTGTTCCTCTTTCCTTCAGTGATTTTGCTTGTTAACAGCAGGTGTTCATCAGTGTCTGAATTAACTCACTTGTTTTAATCACTCAGTCAAATGACTATATTAGTGAACTAATGTAGGGAATAGTGAATAAGGGTATAGGGTGTGATTTGGAACACAGTCTCTGAGTATTGACTTTGAGCGCTCGTGAGCTTAGAATTATAAGGTTCTATCTCCACTTTTGGTCGAAATTGAGTTTTTGACATAATCTTATCCATTAGGTGTTTATTAATGCCTGTGTGGTGTTATTTTTGTAAAAAAATATATTTTGTTAGTAGTTATTAATAAAATAAAAAGGTTCCATCTCACAAACCAGCAGGGATGTAAAAACTTTGATGCTCAATATCTCAGAACTTCCCTAAACGGAGAAAGAACCTTATAATTCTAAGCACACGCTCTGTTAATTCACAGTATATTCCTGTAGGCTACTTTCTCGAAAACTACATATATCACCCAGAATGCATTTTTTCTACAGTATATTGCTGTTTTAATGGAAACTAGCATGTTACTGTCAAAGTTTTGCCCTTTTATTACAGCAATTTTTGACAGTGTGAGGGACTGATTGGAAGTTGGTGTGTGGTACGGTATGATAGGGATCCTTACCCTGGCATTATACAGGATGTGGACCCTGAGGGTTGTGTATTGTGTCTTGTGTATATTAAGGTTATATTAAGGTAATGATGTCATAAAGGGTTTGCTCTAATTTGAACTAGTTTGTCCAAGTTCAGCATGTAGAAAGCAGTGAATAAATGATTTGCTGATTTTTAACACATATTCATGTTTTTTTTTTTCATTTTTGGATTGTTTTTCATTTAAAAATATTGATATGTTTTTGTTTACTAATGCTGTTGCTTATTGGTTTGCTCTGGTTCACCACATAGAGCAGTAGAAAAAGAGTTTTTAATTGGAAGTTGCCTATCTATGTCATTTCCGCCACACACTGTCTCTTCCGCCACGCCATGTCATTTCCACCACAACACATATTTTAAAGTAAAACATATAAAAAACATACAATCAAACCAACTATATTCAGTGGTGTTGATAATTGTGCAGTTAGGGGTAAGATATGTGTATACACTTTAAGAAATACATGATTTTGAGCTATATTAAGTAAATGAAATGTTCCAGGCATCTAGTTTTAGGTGTTTTTAGTGTAAACATTGTAAAATCTTTACAGTTACATTTCTGAAAAATAAATCAATTACAAATTTGATCAGAGATGTGTGTGCTATTTAATCAAATATATTTATTACAGAAGATATTTAATTATTTTCTCTTCAAAACACAAGTTTTGCTATGTGATGGAAATGACCGTTTTCTTGGACTGTCAGATAAAAATGGCAAAATATATATATTATTCAATACAAATCAGCACAGCCAACTTAAGGGAAGGTTTCTAGACAGATTGAGAAACCAAATGATACTAAAAAACTGTTTGTAGAAATGTTTTTATTTTCTGAAACTGTCTAGCTCAAAGAGTACCATAGTTGAAGAATCACCCATATAGGCTATAGCTATGGCTGCACGGGACAGCATCAAGAATCGCCCAAATTTCAACGTTCAAATTGACGTTCAAACGCAAATGTTTAGGAAAGTGCTGCGATGACTTTTTGTGCCACCCAGTGGTTAATAGGAGAATAATCAAATGTGCATTTTACGTCGGTGTGCATTTACCCCGTTTTACCGGGTATAATAATATACTATAGGCCTGCTATAGGCCTAGGCCTACTACCGTTAACTTACCCAGCTTATCTGACACGTCTCTCAGGTTGTCAGAATGTCAGTGTAAACGTTTGTAAACTTTTATTTTTAATATAATTATGTAAGAGAGTAACATGACATCAACACCAGTTTACTTTTATAATGTACTTACTAAATTATACTTGTATAATGCACTTACCAATTAGCAAAGACGGTGCAGCCTGCAGTCTTCCACTCTTGTCAGCGGTTTTATGCGGGGTGGGGCCCGCGCCCGGTCTGCGCAGCTTGCGTGGATCCGGGTTGGGTTGCACCAGCCGTTCGTAACTTCTTTCTTAAATTGTAACGTAAAGTCCACACTAGAGGCTTAGTAACTACTAGCTAGTTTGTAACTAACTCTGTACTTTATTCCGTTGCACCATTTGTTCGTGAGGTAGAACTTAGCTAGTAGGTCGTAAACTCTCCGTAAAGTAATGCGTAGTCGCATAATATGACGTTTAGCCTCGATGAACCAATAGCAGCCTTCAAATACGTGAGCAGAAGTTGTGTTGAAATGCCGTGAATTTCAGTTTATCCTTCATTCTAACTTCTTTTGCCTCACGTTACTAACGGTAAAAATAAGTTTCCATTTAATACGATACTTGATCATAAATAACATAAGTGTTTTTATATATAAATAACATTCAGAAACTGTATTTGAAATGAAATTAATAAGGATCAATAAATAAATATTCATACAAAAAAACAAGAAATTACGTTTATTGATTATGACTGATATTTGACATGCACAACATGGACCGATGCACACAGCGGCGCTGTTTACCTATTTTTTACAGTCTATGTTTAGGACGGGTTCGTGTTAAAGAGCTGCTAACAAAGTAATCTTTTCACATAATGTTCTCTCTCTTAAAATGTATGCGAGTGTAAATGTCAGCATTATCATATATGTCTAAAGAATTGAAGTCTGTCAGGTAAAAGAAGAGCTTATTGATGCAGTTCAGTCTGTCTGATATTTTATTCCAACCGTTACTCCTGATCGGAGCTGCCGTAAATATTTAGTTGGAACGTAGAGTTACGTTTAAACTAAGTTTAATGGTGCAACGGAAAAATATTTAGTAGTGCGTAAGTTGTAACTTAGTGCCCATTTACGTCAAAACTAGGCTAAGTTGTAACTTACGCACAGCTGGTGCAACCGGCCCCCGGTCCACACCCGCCGGGCGGACTCAATTTAGTTGTGGCGCGTATGGTCTGCGCAGCTGTCCCGGATCGGCGACGCACCCGCCGGACGGGCTGTCACAGTCCAAGCTACAGACAAGTCTGGCGCAGAGTTGGTGCAGATCTGCATATTGAGTGCGACTGCTGCGCGAATCTACTGATTCGAAAACGGACCTGGCACAGATGTAAATGCTGTCTGGGTATTGTAGTATTTTTAGTAGCTAGTAATAAAATACCTGTAGAACATCGATAAATTGCATAATTGTCTAGGTAGGTAATACATTTAACAATATAATTAATAATAGTTTACTCCATTTTATTGTAGCCTATTTGAGGAAGAATAATTTTAATTGGATGACGGGATGAATACCTGCTAAGGTAACGTTAACCATTGGTCTACGCTTGGTGTCTTTTTCTCTCGCGACTAGTTTGGCTAGTTTATGGTTGAAAACCTTTTGTTTTATGTCAAACAGTTTTTAAAATAACCACTGGAAATCATAATGTAGCCTATCTAATGGGTGAAGTCAGGCACACCATGCCTTCATTTCGCCACGCGCGCCACTCTCCAGCTCAGTTTGTGCTGGGAACTCACAGCGACAGGTTGTTTACGGGCTGTTATGAGGAAGACACATGGTTCAATTACAAATATTGCGAGCTTTATAAGACATAGGACTGAGCGTTTGAGCTGAACGACAACGCACAGTATGGTTGAAGACATCGAGAGTTCTGTAAAACATCCAGAGATTTAACAGAGGCTTCTGCGTAATCTGGTTAGACAGTAACAAACTTCATTCTTTTCCATTATACCGGAGTCCTAATCATGTTTCTCTTCAGAACTTGGTCAACCGTAAGACTGGTCGCCGTTTTACTGAGTTTGGGGATTCACCAGAGCATCTGGGAAACAGTGAGTTATCTCCGTGGATCATTTGCTTTGTATATCAAATATTGTAATGTTTTATTAATATTCTATATTGTTACTGTGCACATTATATACATTGTGCTTTTTAAATTGAGATTCCAGAGTTCCAAAATCTTGGTATTCTGTGAATTGTCGTGATTAGACTGGGTGCTTTTGAAATCAAGAAGTCATTGCAATTTGATTAACAATACGTGGCCAGTGGATTGTTGTTGGGCTATATAGCATAAAAAAAAAGAATATTTGCAAATATCAGAAATCATTTCATTTCTGATATTTGGAAATATTCTTTTTTATGCTGTAGATGTTTAAAATGTGTTATATGTCCTGGACATTGAAATGTATATTGCTAGTTGCATAACATGTCCATGGACCTTTTGTTTAATCAACCTTATTGTTGATTAACATATATATAGGGCATAATGTTATACGTTTTTCACCATCTTTAATCACCTTTTGTGTGACAAATTAATTTAAATTAATATGAGGTAATTAATGCTCCATGCATAGCTATAAAATAATTAACACATGTTTAATAGTATGACAAACCCAATCATGTTGAATTTCCTAAAGTATTTCATTGCAAATTTTAGCATTTGCCTCCAGATTCAGGTGAGATTTTCTTGAGAGATATTTGCATATTTATTTTCCACTGATGTAGACAAAGTATAGTCTATGCTGTTTGAATGATACGTCATACAAGTTAAAAGTGTTTTATACTGTCCCTGATATCAAAGTTTATTAACATTTGCCTCCAGATTCATGTGAGATTTTCTTTTGAGAGAGATTTTCATATTTATATTAAAAGGCATGACACTGCACCACTGAATTAGAGAAAGTATGTTGAATGTATGTTTGAGTTGCACGTTATAAAAGGTAAATGTGTTTATAGTACCCCTGCTTCCAGATTTATGTGAGATTTTTTTGAGAAATATAAATAGATATACACAAATATACATTTATTTTAAAAAGGCATCATACTGAGCTAATGATGCAGATGAAGTGTAATCCATGCCGTTTGATTTTCACTATTTTCTCTAGGGATCAGTCCAGTCAGTGCTATATTTAATGTGCTGATGTGTCACAGATGTTGATTTGATTAGCTGTACTGACCTGAGATCCCGGTCTCCTTTTAATGATGTTTTGATGACCATTTCCAGTACAGGAACACTGACATATTTTAACTCGAGTGGCCAATTTAGGTTCCTGTCATGAAAATTAAGCATGCAATTTATGTGACTTACTGGCCTTAAAACAACAACAACAAAAAAAAAAAGAAAAAAAAAAAAAGAATGATGTTCTGCTAATTCAAAGGTAGATTACCATTCCAGTTTCTGTCAGAGGAGCACAGGCCACAAAGAAGAGCGCAAATCAGTGTTGTAATTAAATGTAGTTGTTGTTTGGTACTCCCTCTAATGATATGGCTTTCCTTCCCTGAATGGATGTTCATTTCCTATAATAATGATTCCATGTGTTCAAGAGCCTCTTCCTCGGGGCCGCTGGATGCTATTTGACTGATAACAGGATCCTTATCGGTCAGTTATTTTTCTTCTTTATTTGTCCTCTCAACATGTTTAACATTTCTGATCAGGTCACCAGAGCATTTTAGTGCAGAGGTTAAAGGTGATTGAAGACAACAGGTGTCTATTTACTTAAGATATTTAGATATGCAGCCATAAAGACAGTGAGAACAAAAAGGGGTTTTTAGCTCCTTGTTGCATGATATACATTTGATCAGTACATTGTAATGTCAATTTGTGGGGAGACATGGAGGCGGCCTTGAACACCCTTTATCAGCAGATGTGTCATAATTGTTTTTTGGCAAGATAGGAGACTTTACTTTTTGGAGACCTTTAGAGCCACATGGATGTAGTCAAAAGTCCTGTGAATAGTAGTTTCATTGAAATAAAGTGCCTTACTGCCCAGGTGTGTCACCAGTGCTTCTCTCTCACCCATCCTGACAAACAAATTAAATTTGTTGTAGTGATGCATATAGGTCTTTCATTGTTATTATTTCCCTCACAGTTTCTGCATGTCCAAGATGAGCCTTGGCCTTAGCTTTAGAAAATGCCAGGGAGATTTGTAGTGTCTGCTTGGGTTTAATGTAGATTACATGCAATTCTTATACAAGTATAAGAAAAAAGGTTATTATGCATTCAGTGGCGTAACAATGTCACTAACTGCAGCAGTTTATCTTGCTAAATTTTCCCACGCAAATCTCCATCAGTCTTTTGAATATTCACTCTCTTTTTATAGATATTATATGACACTATATTAATCTTTTTTTTCCCTAACCATTGCTTTTAGATGTTTTCTTTTTAACAAAAACATATACAGTGCTGGTCAGAATTATTTGCCCCCTTGGTAAATATGATCAACGATGGCTGTAAAAAATAAATCTGCATTGTTAATCCTTTTGATATTTTATAAAAAAAAAAAGCAAAAATCTAACCTTTCATTGGATTGAAAGTGGGGGGAAAATCACATTATGAAATAAATGTTTTTCTCCAAAACACGTTGGGAACAATTATTTGCCCCCTTTTATTAAATACTTTTTGCCAAGATAACAGCTCTGAGTCTTCTCCTATAATGCCTGATAATTTTGGAGAACACCTGACAATAGATCAGAAACCATTCCTCTATACAGAATCTCTCCAGATCCTTCAGATTCCCAGATCCATGTTGGCGCTTTTTCTCTTCAGTTCAGCCCACTCATTTTCTATAGGGTTCAGGTCTGGGGACTGGGATGGCCATTGCAGATGCTTGGTTTCCTTTCAAGGGAACTCGAGCTGCGTCAAGACACTGTAGGAATGCCCCTGCGTGATTGCGTCGTGAAGCACGTGTATAATCAGTCCAATGGAGAGACGAGACGTCATAGGCGGGTGACGTCATCGACCAGGAAACTATAAAGCACACCTGAAAACAGACCGCACTAGCCTCTGTGCCTTCAGCAAGCGTTCTCTGTATTCTGTCCCTGTTTATTTATTGTTGTCTGTCATTGCAGGCACAATATTTCACAGAAAGATATATATATATATATATATATATATATATATATATATATATATATATATATATATATATATATATATATCAGTGCTGTCAAACGATTAAAATATTTAATCGCGATTAATCACATTAATGCCATAGTTAACTTGCGATTAATCGCACATTTTTATCTATTCTAAATGTCTCTTGATTTCTTTTTGTCCCATTCTTTTTTCTCATTTTAATGCTCTTATCAACATGGAAAAGTGGATCGGCTTGCTTTGTGCAAATGTTTTTTATTGAAAACAACATTGACAATGCTGTGTTCAATTTCACACTAACATTCTCACTTGGAGCAAATAATCTCTCATACAATGTAACACTGTCCATCAATAAAAGGGTGAAAGAAATACTGACGAGGTCCTGATATTGACGAGGGGGTGGAGAATTCGCATCAGCTGTGTGTGTGCTTGGTCATCATCAAGTGGTTTTTCAGACTGGACGTGCTGCGATGATGATAGTTCAGTTCACAAAGACAAAACACACATATCACTTTGGTCTTGTCAATGGAACCATTTGGCAACTTTTTAAAAGTAAACTTTCTATTCAGAATCTTATTGGCATCCATTTTGGCGTCTCGAGCTCATCATCCACTCAAAACGTAATGTTAACCTACTATTTGGCCGGCTCGGCTCGCAAGCCTAAACAAGTGTGTGCGGCGTGCCTGTTGTTCTGTTTCCGGTCTAGCTAGATCCGCTTGCGCTTTCAAAACGTCCTCGTGCGGCGCAAGCCATTGAAATTAATGGGTTTCATAGCGCAGCGCCGCGCATGCCGCGTCCTTTTGCAAAAGCATGTGAAAAAAACGACAAAGTTTGCTAGGTCAAAAAGACCGTTAAATTAACGCCGTTAAAATGGGTTTGCGTTAACGTCGTTAATAACGCGTTTAACTGACAGCCCTAATATATATATATAATGGCTAGCAAGCAAGATTTTAAGCGGTGTGTTGTTCCCTGCCCTCGCTTTATCACGGGTGGGGACACAGATCAGCTTTGTGTTGCTTGTTTGGAGTGGAGTATGCCCAGTCAGTTTTCGAGGGGGCTGACTGTGAACATTGTGAAAAGCTGTCCGTGAGGATGCTCCACTCCCGCCGGGCGTTCTTCGAGGAGGACGGTTCGGTGCGCGCTCCCCAGGGTGCAGGTGGCGATGCACATCTTGTGGTTTGCAAATCGATCTGACAGCGGGGTTAGAGATGGGCCCAGCCCTATCTCAGCCTTCACCTGCCAGATCCAGTGCCTTATCTCAGGGAGAAGCACGCGCTGCGGTTTCTTCTCCCCGGGATGAGGCACCAATGCTGCGATTATCCAGTTCTGAGGAATTGGACGTCTAGATGAAAGATACCTACCATCTAGATCACAGGATTCTCGTCGGGGTTTGCCATTTTTCCCGACCACCACATTGAGGTGTCGAGGTCGTGGAATAAACCAGTCTCATATCGTGTTTTTAATCCGAATTATGGCAATGTTATTGGTATTAAAGATGTAGGTTATGTGACGATGCCTCAGGCTGAAGAGATGCTCACGAGCTATCTCTCTCCCGAGTCAGCATCGTCAATAAAAGCCCCGACGTTACCCACCAAGCCACTAAAATCTACTTCAGCACTGGTGAGCAGCGGGTCAGGCTGTGGCATGTCAATTTTGCAGGCATACCAGGCTTATCTGCTTAGGGACATAGATTTCAGCAGGTGAAGAAGCAATCAGCGGCGTTACAGAAGTTTCTTCCTCGCTGATCTAATGTTCCCGAGACTGCTGGGCGGGAGCAGTCTCGGCCGTCTGCAAGCTCCTTGCAGCTCGGAGTGCAGCAAAAACAAAGCGTCGGCACTCGGGCTCCTTCATAATCAGGGGGGCCTGGGTGGTGGTTGCAGTCGAAGCCAGTTAGAGGCAAGTAAGATCTGAGGACTGTCATCGTCTCAAAAAAGGCTTCGACAAAGAAGTCCTGATGCC